CTGGTTTTTTTTACATGCCTGCTTTTCTTAGAAACAAAAAAAAAAATGCCGGCCGGATCGTACGGAATTGAATTTATAGAGCCGAAAAGCCAATAATCATCAAAGAACCGAATCGCTTGTCGCTTTGTCCCGAACGGTGGGTAGTTATCCGATGAACGAACCGGAGCAACTCATTACCGCCACGTGTATGCTTTAATCTGACGACACATGCCACCTCATGCAGCGAAGAAGCTGGAGTGCTGGATAACACGTGGCACTCTCACTCTCACCTCTTCATAAGAAGGATATTGGGCTCAGAAAGTCTAGAAACCAAAGCAACCTTCTTTTTTAACTCGTATCGAAGATTGTTTAACCCAACACGCAACAACGACAACAACCAAAATAAAAAACCTAAACTTCCGGAAGAAAAAAGCTAAACCGAAAGCGAAAGCAAGCTCGACTTTTTTTGTTTTTCGTCAAAGTTACAAGCTTTGATTTTGTTACAGTGTACGAGGAACACGCAAGAATAGCGTGAGATATTTTGATTGAGTCTCGCAAAAGGGTCTCTTCTGTATTTTGATTAGTTTATAGCAGATTTCGGATATTGCAAAGAATAAGCAAGATGTGTAGTTTGGCGACGAATCTGTTATTACCATCGAAGATGAAACCGTCTTTTTTACAGAAACAGAGCAATAATAGCTCTCTCTTTGTTAACAATAAAAGATCCATGATGAAGAACAGATCTACTGTTCCTGTAAGAATCTCTAATCTTTTTCCTTGGAATTTTTTGTTTTCCTTCGCTCTGTTTTTCACAGTTCATATTCTTAGAGCTCTGTTTTTAGTTTATACATGCTCTGTTTTTTTAGGGTTTATCTCTTTAGGCGCAATGATTAAGGCGTAGATTGTGCCTTTATAGTTTGATGAATCTTACGAAAGTTATTAATGTTTCTGTGGATAAGGTTGCAAGATTATTTGGACCGGCGATTTTTGAAGCCTCCAAATTGAAAGTCATGTTTTTAGGAGTTGATGAGAAGAAGCATCCATCAAAGCTCCCAAGAACTTACACTCTAACTCATAGTGACGTAACCGCTAAGTTAACTTTAGCTATATCTCAATCCATCAACAACTCTCAGGTAATTCGTAGCTCCCCGTAGTGTACAAAGTTTAGCGTTCTAGGAGACTAATGTAAGTTTTTTGGGTCCGTCCAGTTGCAGGGATGGGCAAATAAGTTGTTCCGGGACGAAGTAGTGGCCGAGTGGAAGAAAGTGAAAGGCAAAATGTCACTTCACGTTCATTGCCACATTAGCGGAGGCCACTTCCTCTTGGATCTCATCGCGAAGCTCCGGTACTACATATTTTGCAAAGAATTACCCGTGGTAAGTTTTCGCGTGTTATTTTTTGGTAATAGTATAGTTGTTATGGTCATCTTCATATAAGAACATGGATTAGTGTTGGCCTAGAAAATCAACTATACTCTACGTAACAATGTGGTATATTGATTATATTGGACCTATTGATTTTGTAGGTATTGGAAGCTTTTGTACATGGAGATGGGAACTTGTTGAATAACTACCCTGAGTTACAAGATTCTCCTGTGTGGGTTTATTTCCATTCCAACATCCCGGAGTACAACAAGGTCGAATGTTGGGGTCCGCTTTGGGAAGCCACGTCGCAGCATCATCACGATAAAAATAGGACCAGAAAAAAGTGTGGAACTCTCCCGGAGCTACCTTGTCCTGACGATTGCAACTGTTGTTTTCCGACGGTCAGCTCGATACCATGGTCTCGTCGTCATTATCAGCATCAGCATAGTAGAACGGATGAGAATGTCGCGGGTGGCGAGTTGGGAATTTCTATGCCTGACTCTCAAAACATGAAGTGATGGATTGTAATGAAATTGTATCTTTGTGTTTTTCTTTGGTGGTTTACTCATTAATATGAGTTTAGTTCCTCTGTATTATTGGGTGATAAATAGTTGTAGACTCACGTGTTAAATATGTCTCTCGAATAACTGAACATCAACACAGAGTGTAAGTAGTAGTTACAAAAAAATTCTAGTTTTTCAGCATCAAGTCGCTGAGTGAATGTAAACACACAATAAAACAATTTTTTTTTCTTGTCTCAAGAGATGGGAACTTCAATGGCAAATGTTTTGCTTCCAGCAAAACTGAAACCAGATATTTCAGGCAGATCTACGAGGAAGAACAAATCTATTGTACCTGTAATAATCTCAATACTTTTCGTAGACTCTCTTTTCCCTGCCTCTGTTTCTGGAAATTTTACTCTATTATAAAGTTTTTTCAGTTCACTGATATTTTTCTGTTGAAATGGTTTAAGGTTGCAAGATTATTTGGACCAACGATTTTCGAAGCTTCTAAATTGAGAGTATTGTTCTTAGGAGTTGATGAGAAGAAGCATCCATCAAAGCTGCCAAGAACTTACACTCTAACTCACAGTGATATCACCGCTAAGTTGACCCTGGCTATTTCTCATTCTATCAATAGTCCTCAGGTAAGAACTTATCAAGCCTTCTGAAGTCAAAGCAGTTTAGGAGGATTTGGCGTTTTAACAGACTATGTAACCTTCTTTTAGCATGTGGTTGCATCAGTTGCAAGGATGGGCAAGTGAGTTGTTCCGGGACGAAGTAGTGGCCGAGTGGAAGAAAGTGAGAGGTAGAATGTCGCTTCACGTTCATTGCCATATTAGCGGCAGTCATTTCCTTTTGGATTTCATCGCGGGGCTTCGGTATTTCATATTTTGCAAGGAATTACCGGTGGTGAGTATTTGTTTTTAACCAAAAATGATGGTAATCGAGTTCCTATCGGAGTAATGTATCGATTTCGGTTTGACATATACATCATCTTATTGATTACTGCAAAATTTAATTTACATAGTAAAAAGAAATTTTGAAGACTAGTTTAGATCACAATATTTGGGATTATGATCCATCATTGAATATAAATTTTAATATTCCAAATGACATGTACTACTAATGGGTGGTCTTTTAATGATATTTGACCAATTGATTATAGGTGTTGAAGGCATTTGTTCATGGAGATGAGCACTTGTTGAACAATTACCCTGAGCTACAAGAAGCTCTTGTTTGGGTTTATTTCCATTCCAACATCCCTGAGTTCAACAAGGTCGAATGTTGGGGTCCGCTTTGCGAGGCGACTTCACACGATGGTTGTAGAACTCACACGTGTGAAACCCTACCGGAGCAGCCTTGCCTTGATGAGTGTAGCTGCTGTTTTCCAGCAGTCAGCAAGATTCCTCATGGCAGACACGGTGAAGATGATGAGGAAGTAGCTGTAGAGCGAAGAAATCTTCTGACTAAGTATAGGTATAATCGTAGTAAAAAAAAACAGTAACGCAAAATAGACATGTTTTCTTAACATGTTTACC